ATTTGTGACTATGTTATATTTTCATTTAGCCTTTTCTTTTACTTTCTTTACCTTATAAGTTGAAAATATGTAAGAAGTTAGCATACTAACTGCCCAGAAATGATCAGTTTTCCTGTTAATGAAAGGAGGTTTTAAAGGTTATTACTTGCCTATCTGCTATAAGATTACGTCTATCCTTGGAAGGGGAACAAGAAATGTCTAAATACCAAGACTGTGGAAACTATGTGAGAATATAAGGTTATAAGAAGAGGAAACAGGGAAGTGAGGAATCTCTTTTTTTCTGGTAGAACATGACATCATGTGTCTCACAGCTGACTCTGCACACCACACACAGATACTTTCCCCTCTGGTGGCTGCCTGGTGTGATGATGACTCCATGACTAGTAATTTCAAGATCTGCAGAAATTTTCAGAGTCCTCTGACTCGCAAGAAGCTACACCTCATTCACTTTTTCTGTATTAGTCATATTATGGCATAAACATTTGGAGACATTGTAATCCTGAAACTGACAAGATGCAGAGCAAAAGTTTACTTAGATGAACAAAAAATATCAGGGGTGGTGGTACACAGAGTATGTGAACACAGTCTGGGGATATAACTCAGTTGGTAGGTTGCTTGCTTAACATGCACAAGGTTCTGGTGTCTGTCCCTAGCACTGCCAGAACCAGGCATGATGGGGCATGGCTATATACTCCAGTGCTAGGAGATAGAGACACAAGATTCAAAAATTCAAGGGGAAAATTAAATGAGTATAAATAAAAATAAATAAATAAAATAAGTGTTTTGAACAGTTTGTCATTTGGGCTTGTTTTGAAATATATGGAGTGAAAAGAGTGTAATGTTCGCATCCCAACCCTGGTCCAGGCAAAGAATTGTATTATCTTTTATTTATTAATTTATTTGGTACAGATTCTTGCTGTGTAGCCCAAGGTAGCTTGAAACTCACTGTGTAGTCAAGCCTTGCTTACAGTAATCCTCCTGTCTCCATCTCCCAAGAGTTGAGAACACAGTATGTGCCGTTACTCCGTGAGTTGTATTATCTTAGCTACCTTTCCCACAAGTGTCAGTATCCTCATTAGATAAAATAAGAGTTAGTATGAGGCTAGAAGCGATATCTAATGAAGATGTAATATAATTATAGATTTCAAGTTGCTAAAATATTGTTACAGTGTGCTATAGTTCATTGTTTTTTGGGGGAGGGTGTGTGTGTGTGTGTGTGTGTGTGTGTGTGTGTATTCTGGAGCTTGAATTTGGGAATTCATATATCCTAGACAGGCATTTATACCAGCTTAGATTTTCCTAATTAAAAAAAAAGGCCAGCCTCAAAAGTAATTATGGTGGAAATACACAACATTCTCTTAGAATCAAGAACATTGTTTTAATCTCGATTTACTATGAGTCCTTTTAATTCTCAATACAGCTGGGCAGTGGTACTTTAATTCTAGTACTTGGGAGGCAGAGACAGGCAGATCTCTATGAATTTAAAGCCAGCCTGGTCTATAAAGTGAGTTCTAGGGTAGCCATAGTTGTTATATGAAAAAATCCTGTCTGGAAAACAAAGCAAATAAATAATAATAATAACAATTTTTAGCATAATACAATTTATAAATATAAATTTATTTTTTAGTGCTATGCAACTGAAAGAAAAAGAGAGGAAAACAAAACAAAAAAACCAGAGAATTTCTTTCCCTGAGGCTTATAACTAGTGAGCAACAGAAACAAGGCTAGTTTGAATGAAGAGGAAAGTACTACTCTTTGGAGTTTGAAAGTCTAGTAGGCAAAACAGAATATAATATCTCAATAATGGCTTCGTACTATTTATACCCTGAAAGATATTTATATACTAAATACACATTGAACTAGATATGTTTTCAAATTCTTTCTCCTTTTTTACTTCTGTGGTGCTTTGAATAAGAATGACTCCATAGGCTCATGTACTTGAATGCTTAGTAACAAGGGAGTGGCACTATTTGAATGAATTGAAAAAGATTAGGAAGTATGGCCTTGTCGGAAGAAATATGTCACTGGGGTTTCAAAAGCCCATGCCAACCCCAGAGTCTCTCTCTATGCTTATGCATCGAATCAGGATGTAGTTCTTTAGCAGCTACTGCATGCCTCCATGCTTCCTGCCATCATGAGAATGGAACTATAAGCCAGCCTCCAATGAAATTAAGAGCTACCTTGGTCATGGTGTCTCTTCACAGCAACAGAAGATTTACAAAGACACTTATTAATATATGGCTTCAAAAACCCCTTGAAACTAACATATATAGCTCAATCTGTATTTCTATTGGGTGGTGTTTCTAAAGGAGTTTAGCTTTGGAGTAGTGAACAATGCTGAGAATAAATTAACTACACATAGGGAGAGTATAGAGAAGATTATCTCACTGATTCTTAAATCTCTGCTTTGTTCTCATAGGAAGATGGCTTCATGAAGAAATTTGAACCTAAATCTGGCTGGCTGACTTTTCTGGAAATGACAGGACAGATCTGGAAAATGTTCTTTTCTCCTCAAGCAACACTATTGACCAGAGAGAACCCAGGCTCCTGTGACAATGGTGACCAGCACTTAGTACTTCCATGTACACGCAACTCAGATGAGACTTGACTTTCCGGAGTTGCAGATGCTTTGTTCTCACTTTATGGAATAAATTACCGATATTTGTTTCTGTATGTGTTTCATGGTTTAAAGTTTTGAGTCTGCCTGGAGCTTCAACAATACTCAACACAGGGACAGGTACTGAAGTACGATGATGATCTGAGGGTAGTGTCTTCTCTACCTCTTCCTTGAGGGAGAGATTCTTCCATACAAGGGTGCTTGCTATTCAAAGTTATTCTAGGTTAAACCGTATGGGGGCTAAAATCTGCTTCCTAACAATTCCTGAGTCCACACTTCCTCTATCCTCAGAGGTTCTGGTTGCTTAGTTTCTCATTGATGTACTCACCCCAACCTTTACTCTCTGGCCTTTCACTGGGGCTTCAATGGATAGGGCAGTCAGATATATAGAGTTGGGGTCAAAAATGATGCCCGAAAAGGAAGCCTCAAATCATTTTTCTCTCTGATGTTCTCTTGCCTTCTCTTCTCTCAGCACCCCCCACTCCATTTTTGCCCAAGGCAAGACACAAAAAGTAGGATTCACTTTCCGCACACCAAGTCAATAGTCATACTATATATGATCAGTCTTCCTTTCTAGTAGTTAGGAAGAATTTGCTTCTCTTCCTGCTCCTACAGCAGGAACCTGGAGCAGTTTGAACAAAAACAATTAAATGAATATCAAGCCATTTTTAAACTTGTGTGTGTGAAAACTGTCTTTTGTTAGACCATGCTCCAATTTTTAAATCAAGTTTGATGGCAATATAGAAATCCTCTGTTTTGTTCTAGATCATAAGCATTACATGTCCCTTGAGTCTATTACTAGATCCAATAACGACAGAGCCCCTTTTCTCAAGGCCAGGCACGTTTTTACAAGGGACTTCAGTTATCAACACTACTGCGGAGTGATTCCTAACTGAGGGAATAAAGACACTGGGACAAGTCACTAAGGACCATACCGCCTGATCCTTCTGTCTCCACATCCTGAGGGCTAGGATTACAGACGCCTCATTAACACATTCAGTTCAGTTCCTGTGGTGTGGTCCTAGAGGTCCAATACCCCAGGCTTTGTGTATGCAAGGCAAGCACTCTAGCAGTGGTGCTTCATCCTAAACAGTATTTCATTTCCACCGTTAAACTGAGGAAGGGAAAAGAAATAAGTAAGAAGACCAAGTAGGAAGTTACTTAAAATCCTATTGAGGTGAGTTAGACCAAGATAGCACCGTTGAGCTCTGTTGCCCACAGTGACTGGCTTGTTAGAAATGTTCCAAAGCACCCCAAAACAGTTCTACCAGGCCTAAGTGTTCAGACACAAGAGACTGTGGGTGGGGGAATTTTACATTTAAACATGAAACTGTGTTTGTTTTAAGACACAGTCTCCTTGTGTAGCTTAGAATGATCCTGGCACCACAATCCTCTGCCTTAGTCTTCTGAATGCTGCTAATAGATGTGTGTGCCACCACTTTTAAGATGTCCTATGTGAGGTTTCTTTGGCTTTGCTTTATTTTGAGTCAGGGTCTTCCTATGTACCTATGTAGCTCAAAATGGCCTAGAACCTTCAAGGTTCAGATATCCTATAAGATCATTAACAACCTGTTTTCTACATGAATGGTTGATCTCTTCTTTCGCGTTAGCTACTCTGCAGTGCCAAGTATAACATCTGCCCTCAGTGTCTGACACGTTTATGTTACTGAGTCTTCCTGTGTTTTTGGTTTCTGCTGGCAATAAAGGCTCCAGAGCAATTTATCAATAGTAACATGTACAATTGTGTGTGGGTGGTGGGGAGGGTGCTGGTGATAAAACCTAGGACCACAAGCACATGAAGGTTTGAATTTCTTCCTGCAGATTAATACCTGCTACACATTGATTTATGGTAGTGATTCTCAAACATTAGTATGGATAAGAAATCACCTGAGGACCATTATTAAGACAAACATTTGGACTCTAGGTCTGGGAGTCCTGGGGATGGCTCAGGATTCTTCATACTTAACATGCTTCCAGGGGACACTGATTCATAGACCACACTCATAGTCAAGTATTGGTAAGCAGGTATGGCATGGCAACACTGACCTGAGTTGGGAGCATAAAGAGGAGACCACAGATGTACGTGAATTCAGTGCTTGGTTTACTGTCCATAAGAATTCTGTTCATCTCTGTTTCCCTCTTCCACCTTGCTTTATCTTCAGGCACTTTAGATCTTACCGAAATGAACTATATGCCTTTTTACGTGGGTGCTGGAGACCTGAACTCGGCTTCTCATGTTTGTGTAGCAAGCATTTTACCAACTAAACCATCTCCCCAGCTCTGGAGAATTAACTCTTAAAAAAATCAGTACCCAGCTACGGCGTGGGTAACATGGGGGTGGAGGTGATATAAATCTGAGCCAGTGCTCCTCACACCTACTTACCTTACTCTGTGTTCCCCACTCAGTCAAAGGTCATTAGAGAAAGGCATTATGTGTCTCTGAACAGCAGGTTCCAACAGCAGGCAAACTTCAATAAAAATGAACAGGGTGACTGAGTCCTGAGTTCCCCAGAGAGGGAACATCCTTCTCCAGAAGGGGCCTGCCATTTGTTGTATCAGCTACACCAAAGTAATGAGTCAACTGACTGAAAAAGGGGGAGAAAGGCACTTTGTGGTAAGGCAGAATGTTTTATCTTTTGACGAGGAGGAGCCGAGTGTCCACCGGCAATGATGTGCACCCATCTGGCTTGCGTTGCCCTTCTTCTGAGGCCTCTTCAACCCTGCACTCCACGTTAAGGAAATTAGAGAGTACTGAGTCCGCGATGGTAGCTAACGGCCTTTGTTAGACCTTCGCCAGAAGCACAGCTACCTCCGTAGGCTGTGGGGGAGGGTAAAGGTATCTGGCTACCAGCACAAACGCCAGGGACGCCACGGCACGCTGCCATTCGTTGCCACAAGTCGGGGGCCGGCTCAGCCGGCTAAGTGGTCAACGCACCTTTCCTGGGCCACAGGGGCCACGCCCCCGTCCCCTCCCACTCCGGCGGCCGAGGACGATGGGCGTGGCTGGGACGGTGCTTGCCACGTGATGGCGGCGGTCGCAGCAAGCAGCGCCAAGCGGAGCCTCCGGGCGGAGCTGAAGCAGCGTTTGCGGGCCTTGAGCGCGGAGGAACGGCTGCGCCAGTCTCACCTCCTCACCCAGAAGGTGCGAGAAAGCTGCGGGGAGTTAAACGCCTGGAAGCTTGGGTTCGGCTGGCGTGTCTGCGCAGGCGCACCTCTCCCCCTTTGCGTGCGCGTTCTCGTTGGGCCCGCGCTCGCACCTCCAGGCTGGCCCGGTAGGGCTGCGGGCGAACCCAGTGGGTAGCGCTGTATCATCTCAGGGCAGGCCGACCGGCACGTCTGTTCATTCAAGCCGAGCTACTTTGCTGTGGTGGATACGCATTGCTGCGAGCTTTAGTAGATGTAGGGAATGTCGAACCACGCCTGCAGATTCCGGTTTAAATTTAATTCATTCACAGGCGTTTAACACCTAGCAGTAAGCCTTTTAGCTGTGTACTGGGATTATAGAGATGAAAAAGATAAGATCTAGCAGAGGAAGCAGGCGAATGAAAAATTGTAGCTTTAGGGATAAGGCTCAGTGATACAGCTGTTCAAAAATGTGTTATGTTTTGTTTGTACATACTTAGACCGTATATTGAATTTGTGTCTGTTTTTCTAGGAGTTTTAAATTGCATCTTCCTGTATTACTGGCAAAACTAGAATCTGAGTTTATCTTTGGGTAGATTAATTTTCACGTTTTGAGTTAACTGTATCCACAGTCACCCCTTGGGTTTCTGCTTCTGAGTTAGGATCGTATCTGTAACCTGTTGCCTTCTTTTGCCATCTTCTTATGTACTTTTTCATCTCAGCTTTTTAAAGAGTATCCTCAAATTATTTTTAAAGAAAATACCTATGTGATTGACAATCTTTATTTTTAGTTCATATGTATGAATTTTTTGCCTGAATGTATGTATGTAAGTGCCGTGTGTGTGTGTGTGTGTGTGTGTGTGTGTGCGCGCGCGCGCGCGCGCGCCTGGGGTCTTTGGAGGTCAGAACGATTGGAATGGTTGTAAGGATGGTTGAGCCCCCCATGTGTGTGCTAGAATTTGAACCCAGGTTGTCTGCACGAGCATTAACTCCTGAATCGTCTCTCTAGACCCGACTTTTTAATATATGTTAAAAGATTTTCAACTCCCATTTGAACGCTCAATTGATTTCAAGTTTTTATTTCTCATTCTGTGCAACATCTATGACTTCCAGTCTAGAGACTTTTTTTTTTTTAATGTTTTTTATCTTGTGGCTTAGTTACTGTTCTGTTGCTGTGAAGAGACACCAAGGCAACTTAAAAAGAAGAAGAAGCATTTTACTTGAGGCTTGCTTACAGTTTCAGAAGGCTAGTCTGTAATCATTATGGTGGGGAGCATGGATGAAAGCTTACACCTTATCCACAAGATGAAGGGAGGAAGGGAGGGAAAGAGAGAGAGAGAGAGAGAGAGAGACAGAGACAGAGAGAGGCCGAGAGAGAGAGAGAGAGAGAGAGAGAGAGAGAACGAGAGAGACTGGATTTGCCATGGGATTTTGAAACCTCAAAGCCCACTCTAGGGGTCTCTGTTATCCCAAAGGCAAGAAGAGTGTCATTAGCGTAAAACATGGAAGTCTGGCTCAGCACAACTCACTGACTGGTTTTAGCTCAGACCTCTAGAGCCCTACACAGGACAGTTTGTTTTAGGCATGTTTAAGCACAGCACATTTTGGAAAATTTTCTGGTGATAATTAGTTCAGTCCCGTGTCTATAATAATTAAGACATGGTTACATTGAAACTCTTTCCAAGGTACACGTGTCTTCTCCCATTAAGATGCATTGTATACATTGACCAGATGTGACATGTTAAAGGTCTGGGAAAGATCTGAGGCGCTGTTGGTCATCCAGATAGTGCAAAGGTCACCAGACTATTAACCACCTTTGCTCCCATTTGTAAAGCACGTGTGATATCTCCCGTAAGGTGGGTTCCACTGGCTGAGAAACAGTGCTCAAGATAAGAGTCTAGAGTGGGTGACTGAGACAAACATAAGAATATGGGAGAACCGTGAGTGGTCTCATGATAGAGATAGTTCAGAGGTCACCAGGCTATTAATCAAATCCATTCCCAGCCTTCTGGGCAGAAAACAGATGATACATCTCTTCCTTTGAAGGAAGAGACAACCCTTGGTGTTTAACATCCTGGTTTCCCTTGTGCTCATCTGTGTGTAGAAGGACTTTATGCCCTCTACAGCCCACCTTGAGTGACGCACCTTCTACAAGAAGGTGCACACTTCCTAATCCTAAATAGTTCAGCAAATGGGAACAACACATTCAAATGTGTGAGCCTACGGTGTTCATTCTTACTCAAGCCACCACATCTTGATTACTAGTTTTCCTTTGGATCTTTCAGGAATTCTTGTTAATTAGAAAGTTAAAAAGTCTGGATTGATCTTTTGTGTCTCTGAACATTTTTCCGTATTTTTTTTTCTAATTTGTCTCCCTGTGCAGATGGCAGTGAAGCCTTCTACCACTGAATGAAACCCCTGGTTTTTCTTATCTGCACATATTTATGAATGAAAGTGTGCTGGCCACAAGATTCCCTCTGCTTTTGTAGGCAGGTTAGAATTCTAAGAGAAGAGGGGATTCTGCCTTCTTCCTGTGTCCATATTTTAGTGCTGCTTTGTCTATAAATACTGTCCCTCCCTCCCTCTGTCTTAGAGGACTTAGATTTCTGCTTCTTTGTCTTCCTTGTTACGATGAGTTCCCTTTTATCCTCCCTTCTTAACAAATAATAGTGTGTAAATGGGCTTGAAGGAAGACAGGCAAATGCATATGCATAGTCTCACACAGAATTCTAGCTGTTAATCTTACTGCTTATTCAGCTCTCAGTCCTCTCCGCTCTGCGTTAGAGAGATTAAGAGGAATACTTTCTCGTATAATAAATGATGTCAGAGCCTTAGGCCTACTCCAAATCTGGTCATCCCCATTTCCATTTGTTCCATGTCTGCCAAGCCTCCTAACAGCTTTACAGCCTTTCAGAAAGCAGGGCTTGACTTTCTTCTGTAGCCCCGATTTGATATGCTTTGTTTGACTTCTCTCTTCCTTTGTATTAAATGTAACTTGGCTTTCTTTACTTGTATCTTCCTGCCAGTCATACTGTAAGTGGCTTTTGCATTGTCCTTTCTTTAGCTTGGAGGACAGGCCAGAGCAGAAAAGGAATGGAGAACAAAAGGGAGTTAAGGGCCAGCTTCTGAGTCTGGGTAAGTTCCTAGGGTTAAAACTTAGCTCCTTTTGCCTGATGAGGGATTCCACCAGGAGCCCCTTGGCCCCATTTTAATGAATTTTGTGAATACCCTCCTAAATGGAGTAGCATTGGTAGAGCTAAGAGACTGTTATAAAGCATGGTCCCTGTGGGAGCTTTTGAACTGATTCAGAATCCTTTATTTAGGACACAGAAGCAGTGATTGACTCATGACTTACATTATATAGACTGAAGTGCTGAGTTGTGTATCCCTCTAAATGTAGGAAAGATTCTGAAGAGGTCAGGAAAGTTAAGCTTACATGAGTAAAACTGATGGGAGAAATATCCAACAATCCAAAGTTTGGAAACTGAGTAAATCCAAATTCCAAAGAGAAAATAAACCAGAAATCCTCTTACATGTACTGGGAACTGGGATCACTTCAGGAATTCTGGAGATAGACAACTTTTCCACTTCATGTCTTCTAAATGATTAATGCTGCAGACAGTAGGCCTAGCAGAGAGGTAAAGGGATCATCAAATATACTAATCTTGAGTCCTAAAATAAAAAGCAGGCATCAGAATATGGCATGAACTCACTGTATCACTTTGTTTGGAGAAAACTGTGACGAAAGGGAGAAATTGGTCAGAGGAGTTACTGGTTTATGAAAAATGCAGTCCTAAGAATTATAATTGCTTTCATTTCCCACTTAGGTGATTGCCCACAGTCAGTATCAAAATTCCAAAAGAATTTCCATCTTTTTGAGCATGCAAGATGAAATTGAGACAGAAGAGATAATCAAGGACATTTTCAAACAAGGAAAAATCTGCTTCATCCCTCGGTACCAATTCCAGAGCAATCACATGGACATGGTGAGATTAGCATCACCTGAAGAGATCTCTTCACTTCCAAAAACATCCTGGAACATTCATCAGCCTAGTGAAGGAGATGTTCGGGAGGAGGCCTTATCCACTGGTAAGGCTTCATTTCTCACACCAAAACACTTACCTAGATGCATTCTATATCTTCTGATCTTAGATACTAAGTGTGGTCAGGCTTGGCTAGTTTGGGGGAATTGATATCTCTGAGTGTTTTATACATCAAGTGTAAGTATCAAGTAAAAAGAATGCTGAATATTGAAAACATGAAGTTCTATAGTTGGTCTTGAAACTCTGCGTTCCCAATATGGGTTTATTCATTTTCACCCTCTGCTCTTTATTTATGCCGTGTTTGTGGCATTGATGGCTTTTGCTCCCTTGATACTTGCAACCCACATTGCAGTGGAATGGGGTATGATACTTTAGATTCTCTCAGTTGTGGTATAAGGCAGAGATCGCTGCTGTTGCTTGTGGAAATGTCTAAGCAGGCAGGCTCGCTGTTTATTTCTTCCTAACGTCACATTCTCAGTGTGCAGTTTTACTTACATCAGCAGTTTAGAATGCGGCAAGTTCAGTGCTAAAGCATAAAGGTGAGCTTCCCTGTTTGAGATGAGCTGATTGGAGCTCAGATTGTCTTTGCTGCAGCCTTTGTGGTCTGCTCGTCTTCCTGGTTTGCTTATGTTATCTCGGTTTAGGAAGGGGTAAACTTATGTACCCTCAGTTGCAATTATGAGTTCTCAAGCAAAAAGTTCACATAAGGCATTGTTGTTTTAGGTTTACAGCATAATAACCCGGCTGGTAAATGAAATAGAGGGGCTATATTTTGATTGAATTTAAACTGAGAGCTGCCTAGACAATTTGATCATCTGGGAGTCCTTCCATTGAGAATTTATAGCCTGATTCAACCTTAATCAACTTGGCTTAAACACAAGTAGGATAATATTGGGGCAGAAATTGAAGACTACACAGAACAGCCAGCCTTAAATGTGTCTGGATTGGAGTCAGTCTGTCTTTGCTATGACTCTGTATCTGCAATAGCTTCATGTCTACTGTGGTCCTTGGCAGCTTGGACTTGGAGATCACCTTTTCAGCTAGAATTTCCAGCAGAAAGGAACAAGTCTGGTTTTCTAACAGTTTCAATAAAATCCTGGTCTTAACTCTCATTTCCCCAAGGCCTGGGTTGTACATGACCATTTCTGACTGGTTTTCCGTGATCAGGGAAAAAGGCCTCTGACCACCTCTCCAGCCCTCTTCAACCACTAAGTGGAATGGCGGGGCTGAGGTGCGAGTGGCTCGTGCTGTTCCAGAACAGAAGAGAGTGAGTAGGACACTGTCTGGAGTCAGACTCCACGTACTGTTAGCCAATTCTGAGATCCTGGAGAACACACTCTTGCCTTTAACGTTTAGTGACGGTTTTATTGTTTGATTTTTTTTTTTGAGACATTTTAAGAATTCATGTGTGAAGAATACCCAAGACACAACTTAAATAAATAGGTGGCTGCAATGATTTTATAGTACTCCACTGTAACTTTTTATGGTCTTAAAGGGGCACCATGGGGGCAGGGTCTTTGAATATACCCCTCTAGGTTGAGTAGATCAGTACTTTGGGGGAGGCTAGAATCACTCATTGAGAGGAGTTCACATTCAACGCTCCCATTTCCTTCTTTATTAGGACTGTGTGGTACCTGCAAGGTTATGCTGAAGACGGTGGGCGTAGGTTTCATGCAAATACATAAAAGTCACCACAAAGTCGTGATAGGCTAAAGAAATTTGAATTGTGTCACAAAAAGTGTGAAGATGTTCTATCTTATCTTGGTTTGTTTTGTTTTGAGATGGTGTGGTGATTTAAAAGAAAATGGCCCCCCAAAGGAAGTGACACTATTAGGAGATGTAACTTTGTTAAAGTGGCTAAGGTTTTATTGGAGGAAGTGTGTCACTGTGGAGGTGGCCTTTGAGTCTCATATATGCTTGAGCCATACCCAAAAGATGTCTCAGACCACTTTCTGCTTCCTGTGCAAGATGTCGAACGTAGCTACCTCTCTAGCACCATGTCTGCCTGCATGCCGCCAGGTCCTGCCATAATGATAATGGGCCGAACCTCTGAAAGTGTAAGCCACCAATCAAATGTTTCTCCTTAATAAGTGTTGCCATGGTCGTGGCATCTCTTCACAGCACTAGAAACCCCAACTAAGACAGACATTGTATAGCCCAGGCTGGTTTTGAATTCACAATCCACCTGCCTCTGCCTTCAAGGATTATAGACTCACATAACCATGTGGATGGTAAATATTTATTATGCACTTAGTCCCATGGTTCTCAACCTTCCTAATGCTGCAAGTCTTTAATATAGTTCCTCATGTTGTGGTGACCCCAACTATAAAATTATTTTCAGTGCTATTTCATAACTGTAACTTTGCTACTTTTATGAATTGTAATGTAAATATCCTATATTCTAACCTTTGTGAAAGGGTCATTTGACCCGAGAAAAATTTGCTACCCACAGACTGAGCTGCACATCTATGAGAAGCAAGATGGAGACTTAGTTCCCACAGTGGTGGCGTTAACTAGCCTTTTGTTCTCACAGAGGCAGGATTTTGCTTGTATGTCCTAGCTCCTCTTCTTTGAGCCGTCCTGGTCAGCTTGTGTTAAACATCAAGATGTCCCACTAGTCCTTAATTCCATATTTCTAAATTTATTCTTTTTATTATATTTCTGTTCATAGCTAGCTTGTGCACATAAAAGTATTCTTGTCTCTCTTTTTATTACCATGTAATTTTCAAGTATTATCAAATTTTTCTTTGCCATATATTTGTATGCAGTGCATGCATGTGGTATGTGTATATGTGTGTGGACTAGTGTGTATGCCCATGTGCAGGAGTAGAAGCCACAGGATGGTGTTGCATTCCTGCTCTCTCACTCTCTACACTATTGCTCAGAAGCAGGGTCTCTCACTGAGTCTGGAACTAGGCTGGCATCTCGCAAGTCCCAGTGAATCCTCCCGTTTCTTCCACTTCATAATGCTGGGTTACAGACACAGCCACACCTGGCTTTTTCCATTGGTGCTAGGGTTTGAGATCAGGTCCTCACATTTATGCAGCAAGCATTCTTAGCCACTCAGACATTTCCTCAGCCCCTCTTTGTAAAATTTCTATTTCCTGCTTCGAAGCCCAACCACCTTTTGTCTCCAGCTTTTGACCCTTTACATCTTTTCTCTTAGAAAGAATTTCAAACTGGTTTCCTCATCCTATTAATTCCTCTCAGTTGCCTTTTTACACACCTTACCCATCTGTTAGGTCTTTTCTTGTACACTGTGATCATCTGTATCTCTGGCTGAAAGTACTTGCTGCTGATCTGCTATAGCCAAAAGCAGCAACACTGAACCACTCCAAAGTTCAGGCCACTGTTTGAACAAGTATTTCCCCATGCTCCCTGCTCCTCCCCAGTGTGTTGTGGTTCCTTTCCTTCTACTGAAGGACAGCATTTCATAACAGTGGGCAATGAGAGATTCAGGACTGATCTCTAGTTTGACTCACTTCTCACTGTGTGACTTCAGCCCCTGAACTCGAGTTTCAGAGATCTCATACGAACATGGAGCCCACAAGCCTGCCACGGGTTGTTACGGGCTGTTACAGAGCTTCAGCGAGATAATGGCTAGAGGTAGTAAGGGCGAAAGTGAGGCTGCTGTTTCCCAGGCTAGAACGTTTCTTCAGGATAGAACTTTGCTGTCCAGTGCCTGAGATCACTGGCTTTCAAGTTGCAATCTGGGTTCACTTCTTTACCAATTGGGCAAATTACTTAATATATTGAAAGCACTCCAGAGTTGGGAATACTAAAACTGTTTTGTAACAGGGTAAAGTAGGATGATACACAGTTAAATACTATACAGTGTGTTGTCATGAGGAATCAATAAGATGAAGCCATCATCATTAAGTGCTGAGTATTTTCCCTGGCTCTCTCAACATCCTAGTCTTTTTTCTTCTGTGATTCTTAAATCCTTGGCGCTTACTATTGATCCCCCATGCTTCATTATTTCTTTTTGTGTTAGTACACTTAATCTCTTTAGGGGCCAAGATCTTGGTCTAAGATACTCTGCCCCTGGTACCCTAGTATCATATGGTTTATAGTGTGTATAGCCATCCTGGCAGGAATGAAGAGAGGAAACATGCAGTGCCTTTTCTTCAGCTACCAGGTTACTGAAGCAGTGATCCCCCAAATTGGAATTTCCCCAGAAAACCCATGCCAGAAGATAGAAAAAACAGAAGCCCATGCCAGCCAGAGAAGGAACTTGTCTGCCAGGAAGAGATGTCACACAGTTCTGACCACTTTCCAGACCACCTTGCATGAGAGGCTAGAGCTGGCTCAGTGATGGGGCAATGACCCTAACCTGAGTGGGACTGTTTATTTATATACAGCTCTTGTCTGCTATTTAAACATAAACTTTGGGACTCGCGAGATGGCTCAGTAGGTAAAGGTTGCTTGTCACTAAGCTGAGGATTTGAATTTGATCCCGGAACCCATATGGAGACTCATACAACTTGACTTCTGACTCCCCACATGTTCTGTAGCATGTGTTGCCCTCCTTCATGACTAACTGAATAACAAGCGAAATAAGTAATGCATGTAAGAAAATAAATGTAAACGCCATGGCAAGACCTGAAGAAGGATTGCGTCGGGCAGAGTTTATTGAATCTCTATTTCTTTTTCTTCTTTATGTGGCCACATAGGATTAATCTTTCTCTGCTTTTTATTATTGTCTGTTTAATTGACCTACTGAGGGCAGCGACTGAGCCTGACTCATTCTAGTTGCCAGGGTCTATGCTCTGACCTCAACAACTCTAGCAACATGTAGATTCATACTGGAAATTTCTCAAAGTGAATCCAGTATTTATTATAAATTCAAAGAATGCTTATATAAATGAATAGATGATTAGTCCTTTAAAACCATGAAAGAAAATCTGAAATTTCAACTGAAATTTCAAAGTTACAAGCAATGCATGGGAATTGTTTTATAGATGCTGTGAGTTTTTTTTTTTTTTTTAACTTATATCATGTGTAAAATGTCGACATTGTCCCTGGGTTGGGCAGGGCCTTCCTGGG